CGGTGTTTAGAAAAAATGCATCTCAACTGCTCCGATACTCCTGACACATCACTACAGGTTTTTGTTTAGGCAGCGGTTGTCCTTCTCTCTTGGATCAGTTGGAGCTTTCTTTAGGAGCCTTTCCAGCTTTGACAAAAGTCCAGCTGGGATAACCACATTTACTCAGGGTCTTCTTCATGTGATGTTCTTCTGCCTCCCCCGGCCGCTGTGTCAGTGGGGATGGTGTTCGCTCTGTGTTGTAGCGTCATGATGACTCCCAGTTTATGCTCCAGTGGATGATGAGAGTCAAACCTTAAATAGTAATCCGTATGCGTTGTTGATCAATGGTCATGAGAATTTTCATAATCATGATTAAGGAACTGACCTCCCAGCCCATTGTTCCTTCAGTGGGCTGGTTTCAGTCATTATGCAAATGTCCTGTTTATAAGATTGAGACCTGCAGTCAGCTGAGACTGAAGACGTCACCTGGATGAGTGATGAAACGTTTCTCCCACAAAACGATACGTCCAGATGAACAGAATCAACTTTTGGAGATTTACTTACCTGGATGATTGAGATGCATCAAGACTCTGGTGTAATATACAGACTCATACAGTGGGGTTTTATATGGTTTGATTTCCTTGTAATAAATTTGACCTTTTTGGCTGATTTCCAGCTTCAGGTTTTTACTGAAAAAAGAAGAAATAAAAGTCCATATTTAGCTTATAGCCATTTATGCAGCCTCTAAATTCATCATGCAGTTATGTGAAGACAAAATAGACAATTATGCTCAAAAAACAAGCCAATAAAATAAAACCACCAAAAACTGTTGCACATTTGACAACTTTCACTTCTGCTTTCGTTGTGTCTGCAGGAAAATGAAAGTCGCCCGCTTAAAAGCCTCAAGATGGTAAAAGTCTTGCTGTGGCTTTGAAATCCCGCTTTCATTTTGCTGCTGAGTCTAATGCCTGAAGAACGCACTGTACTAAAACATAGTAGAGCTGACTTCTACTTGTTCCTTATGGTCAATTATAGGCCAATCTCCAACCTTCCTTTCATATCAAACATCCTTGAAAGAGTAGTTGTCAAACAGCTAACAGATCATCTGCAGAGGAATGGCTTATTTGAAGAGTTTCAGTCAGGTTTCAGAGCTCATCACAGCACAGAAACAGCTTTAGTGAAGGTTACA